AATCCACATTTTAGAAAAACAAACGAGAACACACGACTTAAAAATATAACCCACAATACTTTATTGCCATTTATGTCACTGGACAAAAGTTTTACAATTTTTACGTGAATCACTCGAATTTTACAAACTGCCGTTTGGTGTCATGAATCTTTGGTGTTTTAATCTTTGCATTAAAAAAAAAAAGGATCCTCAGCTGGTTGGATGATTGTCGTATCAGCTTTCAGTTCATCGACAGGTTTCAGACTTTTAAAAAAAAAACAAAAAAACAACTGAAACTTTCTTGTTTTTACAGAATTATAAAGTACAGAATACTTCAATGCAAGCAGATGATGATGATGATGATGACAGTATTCAAGTTTGACACTGAAGCTGAGATACAGTAAGCACACGCGACACACTGTCTTTTTCTTTTCTTTAAAAAACAAAAAAACAAAAAACAACATAGTGGCAAATAAAAAGAAAACTGACAATAAAGATACAAGTATACAAAGGTTCCCAGGTTAGAAAATGGTTATGTATTATAAACATAGTCTAGGCTGTGGGACAGTGCAGCAACCTTGAATGTTCAAAGAAAAGCGTTTTTATTTTCATTATAGCACCATGAGATCCGAGCAGGGTGGACGCGTGATCCTGATGGAGTTTTACAGACAGTGTAAGCTTCTCCCCTGTGTGTGAGATTACAGATAACAGGAATGTTAATTATCTTCAAGTCTGGCGTCTTTTCTTTTCTTTTCTTTTCTTTGCTGCGAACAGTGAAACAGCAAACAGGACGCCGTTTTCAGGGTTTCTTTTCTTTTCCAAACAAAGTCAGCAGCACTTAAAGCCTTCAATCTTTGGGTTTTTACTGTGAGTATTGGTTTTGGCAGCCTTGACATTTAAAAAAAAAAAAAAATCTACATTTCACTTAAAAATATACAATTTAATTTTCAAGAAGCAAGTGTTATAATATTGGTTTTTCAGCACTGAGACAATACAAAAGACAGACACACACAACAACAATAAAACCTAGCGCAAAAAAAAAAAAAAAAAAAGTCACTTTTTGCAATCCAGACTCTCAAGACTGCACTTTTTCTTTGTACAGCGTTAAGTAAGAGATGGTATCATGTAGCACCTTTCTTTTTTTTTCCTCTTTGAGAGAAAAAAAAAAAAATCACAAGAAATGAAATATGACCTGACGGATGTTTTTCTCTGTGAGTGTGTGTGTGTGTGTGTGTGTGTGTGTGAGGTTTCTTGTTCACCTGCGAGTGCCGTTACTCCGTAAAGCACTACGTTGGTTACAGCTTAACGTGTACCGTCGAGAGACTGTTGTTCTGCCGTGTGTGTCTTTGTGTTGTAAACGAGGCTCAGCCCACAGTGAAGTCAAAGAAGTCAGATAAAGTCAGCTTAGTGTCATTTCAGCCGCCACCGACTGCCGGAGAATTAAAAAAAAAAAAAAGAAGAAGGCAGGAGAAAGCCTCCGACAGTCGGGACGCGGGGAGAAAGAAAAAGCCGACTCAGGTCCTAGAATCAGTGCACCTGAAGTCATGATAATCCCTTAGAGGATAAATACAAACGCGACCTGATCTATCTTCTTCAGAGCCTACGAGCTACTAGCTGGTGTGTTCCCTGCTCATGATGGACGCCGAGGGACGCTAGCACCCTCTCATGTTTTAAAGTCAGCATCGCAGCGTGGGGCCCACGCTTGCGTCCGCGACGAGGTAACCGAACGTGGCAGCACACAAACACGCCTAAAACACGCCTGCTTTCCAGTCGCATCGGAGCAGGTTTTTTCCTCATCTGGTTTGGCGTCCAGCAAATAAAAAAAAAACAAAAAGAAACAGAGTGCTATGGACCAAGAGAACCTGAAATGCTGTGTAAATGTTGCAGTCCTTCGTGTTAACATTTTTCAAACAGCACAAATACATTAAATGACAAACTACAATACTGAGAGGGGTGAACGTGACCCACCTTGATCCCCAGTGTTGTCATTTTTTTACTTTTCTCATTTACCAAGATCACGGAGAGGTGACGGAGTCCTCGGACCGCCGCGGTGACGCTGTCCTGTGATTTAAATACTACCGTACATGCTGCGTATAGACAGTTTGGGCCACTCTCAGCACTTCGCCCGTCCCGTTAAACCCTCATGCTCGTCTACCGAAAGTGCTTCATGGACTTGTGAGCCGTCTGTCATATTCACGGTCCGAGCACAGCGTCACCTCTCCTCCACTGGATCTCACGGGGTCAGGCGGGAGTGGAAGGGTTAAAAAAAACAAAAAAACACACAGAACATGAACATATAATAGGGTGAACAGTAACAAAGTGGTGGCAGGTTCGGGCTGATTGACTCAGTCTTTTGCAGCCCTTGATTTGACCCCCTTTGCAGGAGGAGGAGGAGGAGGAACCGGGTGGAGGATGGAAGGTTTTGGAAGGCTTGAGGAGTCAGTCCAGAGGCGGCGGTTGCACTCCGAGCTCAGTGCAGGTGGACGTGGATCTTGATGCGCAGGGCGTCTCCGATCTCCCCTCGTAGGTAGTCGCTGTCGTGCTGCTCCTCCAGCTGGTGCAGCCGCCGCGGCCCGAACAGCGGCAGGCTGGCGATCTCCAGCCGGTAGGACCCGGCCGCTGGGGGCCTCTTGCCGAGCCGCAGCACGCTCTTCCCGTCGCGGCGCTCCAGCAGGCGGAAGTGTTCGTTGGCGTTGCCGTGGGTGATGACGTAGCGCACGTGGTGCTCCAGGGGCTGAAGGGCCGGCAGCAGCTCCAGCAGAGGCTCCTTGTTGAGCAGCGAGCTCAGGGAGACGTTCATGGGGATGGAGGTCTGGGTGTCCACGCTGGCCATGCTCACCGCCGGCTCCTGAAACAAAACACAAAAAGATCCTCAGTCACACAGGACACAGTGATCACAAGATGGTCAGTAGAAAGGTTCCGGAAGATGCTGCAGCTGCTTGAATCAGCCGAAAAGATCTACTTTGGTATTTCTCAGCTGCAATTTCTTATTATTGAAGTCGGCACTGATCTGTCTACAGTTTGAGTTGTTTCTATCTCAGTTTCTGTTGAAGAAAATTTGCATTTATATGTTAAACTATATCAAGATTCAAACTTACTAAGTTTCCTTCTACACTGGTCACACTCTGTTTTGGCTCCAACAGTCACGAAAAAAAAGACAATTTTAAATTCTCACGTGTAGATTCTCAGTCTTACAGGCCACAGTGATCGTAAGAGCTTCAGTAAAAAGCAACCAGACGTTTTCTTTTTGGTTCATGAAGATGTTGCAGCTGCTTGAATGAACCAATAAGATCTACTTTGGTATTTCTGAGTTGTTTCTATCACATTTTCTGTTGAAGAAAATTTGCTGAACTATACTAAAGAAACTTCAAACTTAGTAAGTTTCCTCTTCTGGCTCCTTCACTGAGGACAAAAAAAGG